GACTTATATATAGTATAAATTTAAACTAAGTTTAAAAATAGACTTTTTATAACTTTTTTAATAATTAACTTAATATTAAATCTTACGATCGTTTTTAGTTATTTTTATTAAAAACCTTTTTTAATAAGCTTATAATTAATTACTAAAGCCTTATTTATTTTACGACTTATAAATATAGCTTTAAAAAAGCTATTTATAATTACGATACTATTTACTTAGTACTCGTAGCTTTAACTTTTATTAATATATTTATTATAACTAGCTAGTTATAATATTTTAATTATTCTTATTTAATAAAGTTTATTTTTTAAAAAACTAACTAAATAATATAAATATATTAATTATTAATAATAATAATACGGCATAATTTATTAAAATAGTTATACTTATTATTTAATAATTATATAATATAATATTTAAACTTAAAAATAAGAATAAGTAATTTTATACTTAGCTTATAGCGCCCCGACCTTTTTTAATATTTAGAACTAAGTATTTTAAATTAGAACTTTATAATAGGTCCCTAAATACTTTTTAAAGATTTTTTACTTAAACTAGGGCCTACTTATGCTATTATAGGACCTTTTTTAGTATTAAAATAAATAAAATCTATTATATAGCTTTATTTTTTAAAAAAAATATACTTATTTAGTTCGAACTTTTTATAAAAAACTATTTTAAAAACGAACGTAATATTTAGAATAAAAATACTAAGAAAATCTTCGATAATTATAACGAGTTTAAAAAAAAACTTAAAAAAACCTTTAATAACTTTAATAAAGAACGAATTACTAAATAGAGGCTTATAACCCTTATATAAAAAGGGTTAGTTAATAAATATATTTCTAAATTTAAATAGATTATTTCTAAACTTAATTAAAATAATAAAGTATTTATAATAACTTTTTATTACGGTTTAAAAAAAGAAGTTAAGGATAACCTTTTTCGTTAGGACCGACTTAATAAACTTTATAATTATATTAATATAATAGTTAAGATTAATAATTAACTTTATAAACAATACCTTAAATAAAAAAGATAAAATACTTAAAATAACCGAGCTAAATTTAATAATAAACGTAAGTATAGATTAATAACTATTATAATAAAGTATTATAGCGGACTAATAAATCTTAGTATTATTAAAAAAGAATAACTTTATTAAAAAAAGGACTTTAAGTACTATAACTACGATAAACTAGGATATATAGCTAGAGATTATTAATAACCTAAGCATATTTAATACTAACTTATTTTAAAAAAACGAGCTAATATTATAAATAAAAAAACCCCCTATAAATAACTTTTATAAACAGCTTATTATAATAATAATTATCTTACTTATTAAAATAATAAGGAATAAATAGGATAGTACTTAAAATAACTTAAGAATAAGGGATAATTTAATATTATATTATCCGTTAAGACCTTAATAATAATAATAAAAAAAGAAAAGATATTTATTTATTAACCCTATACTCTTAAAGAAAATAATATTAAATATATTATTACGCTCTTTTAAATTTATAAAAATATAAAAAAAAAAGCTAAGATAGACCTTATTATAAAAGATATACTTTATTTTTTTAAAAAACAAATTAAATAAAAACACTAAGCTAATATAAAAGAATAGCTCTTTAAATTTAAAAAAAAAGAACTTAATATTAAAAAAATTATAAATAGCCTCGTTTATATAATATAATAAAACTAAATAAACTAAAAATAATTTACTAAGTTTAAAAAAGGACTCGATTTAAATAAAATCCTAACTAAGTCTATTTATATAATACGAAAGGTAAATAGTAATAAAAAATTTATTTATAAAATTAAAAAATAACTCGAAGACCTCTCGTATAAAAATAAGATTAAAATAATTAAAAAACTAACTCTTAATTTCGGAATTATAAAAGAGGGAAAAATTAATTTTAATTTTTAAAAAAAAAATATTAAAGTAAGAACTAGTTCCTTTTATTTTAATAAAATAAAATTACTTTATAATTTAAATAAACCTCGTAATATTACTTAATAACGTACTTAAATAGAGATTAATTATAAAGTACTACTTAGCGTTAATAATACTATTTTTAAAGAAAATAATAACGAACTATAATATAAGTATATTTATCCGTTTGAAAATAACTAAACTATTTAGTTTTATAGAACTAAAGAACGTAAAAAGGTTATAATAACCCCTTATATAAATAAAAATTACTTTCTACTCGACCCTAAAGACCCCTTTTATAAAGAATTATTTTAAATAAAATACTTAAATAATAAATACTTTTAATACTTTATATATAAATAAAATAGTCGCTTCTATTTATAAAAACGTAATAATAAGCTTATTAAGAATATTTATATAAAAAATTAACTACCTAACTAGACGCTACTAAGCTTTAATAATAGTAATAAAATAATATTTAGCCTAAACCCTAGCTTTTTTATAAAATACTTTAATAATAAATATATAAAATAAAAAGATTATAAATACGACTAATACTAAGTTTATTATATTAAAAAAGCTAAGACTTAAAGAAAATAATAAAAACTATATAAATAAGGTACTTAATAAAAAAAACGTATATTAAAAAATTAAAAAAGCTAATTATAAAAAAATAATAAAAGGCGAGAATAAAAGAAAAGTTTCTATATATAACTAAATAATATAACGACGTATACTTACGAATTAACTTTAATATTTATAGACGAGGATTAAATATTATTATTAATAATAATATATAAAAAAGTTATATTTTACTAAGGATAATAAATAAACTTAACTTATTATAAATATAAAAAGATAATTTATATTAATTATAAATAGTAAAAAGAGAACGAGTTAATTATAATTATAAATATATTAATTAAGAGACTATATACCTCTTAATATATATTAATAATTAATAAAAATAATTATAATATAATATTATAAAAATAGGAAATATTAACGTTATCCTAGGAATCTCGTAATTATAAAAGTATAACTTATAAATAAATTAAATTACTAGCTAGGTCCTTTAAGAAAATCTAGTTATTAAATAATTTAAAAAGGAGGGTTTAAACGGATTTTTAAAAACTTTTAAAAAACGAGAATAAATACGATATATAGCTTTTATTAAGATAGTAAAAAGCTTTAAAAAGTTTATAACTAATACTAACGATTAGAAATTATAATAACTCTAAATTATATTTAAAAAATACTAAATATATATAAAACTATTTATAAAACTTAAAAAAATAAGATTATTAAAATATAATAATTAAGATATAGAAATTAAGCTTAAAAAAAGGATATAACCCGGGTTCTATTTAATACACTTAATAAATTAAGAAAAATAGGAGTACTTTAATAAATATATTAATAAAAAACTCGAGAAAGGATATATTTAACTATTAAATTCTCTTATTAAATTCCCTTTATTTTTTATATTAAAAAAGGGTAAAAAATTAAAACTTATTATCGATTATAAAAGACTTAACGAAATTATAAAAAAAAGTTATTACCTCTTATTACTTATTACTAAGCTAAGAGATCTATTTTATAGAGCTAACTAGTTTATTATTATAAATTTTAAAAAAGTATTTAATTAAATTCGGATTAAAAAAAAAATAAGTAAAAAATAGTATTCTGAACTTATAAAGGACTCTTTAAGTATTTTATTATACCCTTCAGACTTATTAATACTTTAATAACTTTTTAAATAATAATTAACTACGTATTCTAAGAATACGTTAATATTTTTATTATTATTTATATTAATAATATTCTTATCTTTTCCTCTAACTTTAAAATATATAAAAAATATATTTATATAATATTTTAAAAGCTCTAAAATACTAAGCTATATACTAAACTCTCTAAGTACGAATTTTATATATAAAAAGTAGACTTTTTTAAATATATTATTATACTAAGATAAATATATATATAAGTATTAAAAATAAAAGTAGTTAGGGACTAGCTTATACTATAGAACGTTAAAAACGTATAAGGATTTTTAGGATTTATTAATTTTTATTAATAGTTTTTTAAGGATTATACTAATATAATTAGACCCCTTAATAATTTAATATAAAAGGATACCCCTTTTATTTAAGATCTTAAGTATAAAAAAGTATTTATTAAAGTTAAGAATATAATTATTTCTAAACTAATTATTATAATTTTAAACCCTTAAAAACTTTTTAAAATCGAGACTAATACTTTAAACTTTATTATAAGAGCGGTTTTAAAATAATAAAATAAATAAAAAAAGCTTTACTTATATTACTTTTACTCTAAAGTATTTTATAAAATAGAATTAAATTAGTAAATTTATAATAAGGAACTAATAATAATTATTAAAGTATTTTAAAAATAAAGATTATAGTTATTTAGAACTAAATACGAAGTTATAGTTTATATAGATTATAAAAACTTCGTAAACTTTATAATAAATAAGAATCTAAATAAATAATAAGTTAAATAGAGCGAATTCTTATTTAAGTATAATTTTTAAATTATTTATTAAAAAGGTTTAGAAAATAGTAAAATAGACGCTCTTAATAAAAAACCTAATTACGAAGTCGCGGTCCTTAAAAAAATATAAGTTATTTTTAAATAAGAAAAAAATAATAGCCTTATATTAATTACGAAGCTCTTTATAATAATTAAAAAGATTAATACTAGCTTAATTAAAAAAATAACCCCTAAGCTTATTATAAAAATTTATAATATACTAATATATAGTTACTAAGGAATTATTAAAATATAGAAACGGATTTACTAATATTATAATAAATCCGCTATATATACTAAAATTATAAAAGTAATTAAAGATTCTGTAACTTATAAAAAAAGTAAAAATAGCCTATATAAACCTTATAATAAGCTATAATTATTATAATTATTAATAAAAGTATAATAATTAATTATATAAGACTTTATTATTAAACTATTAAAGTCTAAAGAACTATTTATTAAAATATAGTATAATAATATTTTAGTTATAATTAATTAACTTACTAAGTTTATATATTTTATTCCCTATAAGGAATTAAGTACTATAAAAAACCTAGTATATATATTTATTAAAGTTATATTTTTAAACTATAGTTTACTAAAAGAAATTATTTTTAATAAAGATAAGCTATTTATTTTAAAGTTTTAGAAATCCCTAATTTTATAACTTAGTATAAATTATAAACTATTAATATTATTTTATTTATAAACTAATAAATAAATAGAAAGGATTAACTAGATCCTTAAGATATACTTTTATTATTATATAAACTATAACTAGGATAATTAAATAGTATTTTTATTAATAACTTAGTTTATATATAATAATATAGTTAGTAAAAATATAAAAGAATTTCCGTTTTACCTTAATTATAAATTTTAATTAATAGCGTATAGAGAAGTATAATAAGGACTATAAACTATAAAAGCTATAATAAATATAAATAAACTTAAAGAGATTTATAAGTAAGCCTTATTAAACCTCGAGTTTATATAATAATATATAAAAAAAAACGTAGATAAATTAAGTATTAAAGGACTATTTTTAAAAAAGGGGGATAGTACTTATCTTTTTTATTATAATATTAAAATAAAATAACTAAGTAATAAATTAGATTATAAAAAACTTAAACTTTTTAAAATTATTAAAAAAGTCTTATTAATTAATTATAAATTAAGATTACTAAATACGATACGATACTATCCCGTTTTTTATATTTTATTACTTAAACTTATATTAAGAGGTTTATATATAAAGAATTATATTATTATTAAACTAAACTAATTAGAGTACGAAGTTAAACGAATTATTAATTATAGAATTAGGAATAAAATACGGGAATTTCTAATTAAATAAAAAAACTATAAATATAAAAAAAATATATAAGAACTTATTATAAACTTTTAGAACTCTTAGGAATTTTTTTTAAAATACTAAAATTAAAATTAAAACTAAAACTCTTAGTTATTATAATATCTTAGTTAATTATTCTAAAAGTATTACTAAACTATACCTCTCGTATAATAACTAACTTATCCTTATTAATAATATTAAAAAGATTAGGAATTGCTTTTTCTTTTTTAAATACTATTCTTTTTTTTTTAAAAAAAACGATTTAATTTTAATAAAGACTAATTTATTTTAGCTTACGTATAATATAAAGCTTTTACTTATTTTTTAAAAAAAAGCTCTTTTATTTCTTTTTTACGTTCTAACTTATTAATTTTAAATAAAAAACGATTTATTATAAATATAATTAGTATAAAAAATACTAATAAAAAAAAAAGAAACTTATAATTATATATAGTACTAGTAGTCGTATTATAAAAACGACTACGACGTATATACTTATAATACCTTAATTTACTTTCTAATATTTTATATTTTCGCCCTAATAAACGATAAAATAAGTAAAGTATTATAATTTTAAATCCTCGCTCTTTAATTTTAAAAATAAGTTTTAATTAATAATAAGTTAAAGATCTAGTAAATATTTTAATATTTTTAGAAAAATTATTTAACGAGCCTTAACCTAAGCTATAATAACTTATTTATAAGTTTATAAAAATAAAACTTTTAAAAAAGAGACTTAATATTATAACTTAATATATATAACTAAGACTAGGGCCCGCCCTATAAGCTTATAATAGTTATAATATATTATATATATAAAAATACGGGAATATAGGGCGACTTTTATAAAATAAAAAAACTATAAATAAGTTATATATAAATAAAAAATAGTAATTACGTAATAAAGTAATTATTATAATTACTCTAAATAATCGCTTATTAATATTTATTAAGTAATTACTTAATAAATAAGAGTAATTATTAATAAAAAATATATTTATAAATAGATTTATATATAATATAAACTTAAGCTAAGCTTAAAAATAGACTTTTTATAGTTTTTTTAATAATTAACTTAGTATTAGATCTTATAATCGCTTTTAGCTATTTTTATTAAGAACCCCTTTTAATAAGCCTATAATTAATTACCGAAGCCTTATTTATTTTACGACTTATAAATATAGCTTTAAAAAAGCTATTTACGATTATAATATTATTTACTTAATACTTATAGCTTTAATTTTTATTAATATACTTATTATAACTAGCTAGTTATAATAACGAGGCTATATAACTTCTTAAAATAATTAAGTAATAATAATATTAAAATAGGGGCGCTAGAATAATTAATAAAAGTATATTACTAATACTAAATAAATACGCAGAGCCTACGTAAATTTAAATTTAAATTACGTAATAAGCTTAACTTTAATTAGGAAATCGTTATCGATATTTTCTATTTAAATAGTTAGCTAGTCCTATATATAATCGACGTAGTTATATCTTTTTAAATAAGGTAATTCCTTTAGGATTTATAAGTAAAAATAGTATAAGTAGCTTTACGAAGGGAATAGATTAATATATACTAAGGACCGCTAAATAGTATTAAAACTAACGCTAATATTAGTTTTAAATTAGTAAAATTTAAAAAAAATATAATAGCTTACGGTATATAACTAAAAATCGTACTTATTAAAGCGTATTATAGTATTAAAAAAATAAAAAAGGTATATTAATAACTAAAAAGGGCGTTTAGAATTATTAAAAAAGAAAATCCCGATTTTATTAATAACGAATATTTCTAAATAGTACTTAAATACTATAACGATATTATAGGGCCTAACGGGCTTATATTAACGTTATTAGTATTTAGAGTATATTTAAGAACGACTTTAGCCGTATTACTATTACTAAATATAAACTAACGAGCCTAAGTAATTAAAAAAGTAATACGGGTATTATATAAAATAAGTATAAAAAAGTAAGTTAACGAGGTAATTATTATATATAATAGGCCTAATATAAGAGGTAATTTAAATATATTATTAAATTCGGATATACGAATATAGTATAAAATTAATTAATAATAAGCTAGGCTATATAAATTAATTTTTATTAACGAGCGCTCTTATATAGTTATAAAAAATCGTAACTAGCTACTCGAAATATTAATTATAGTAGTTAAACCGTATTATATAGATTTTAATAAGGTAATTTTTAATTTATAAAAAAAAAAAGAGCTAAGGAAAACTATATAACCCGTAATAGAGGTATAAAAAATTATCCTTAATAAAATCGTCGTAATAATATTAATAAATAATAAGAAAGAGGAAATTATTAAAAGGGTACTAATATTACTAGCGAGACGTTATAAAAAACTACGATAATAAGCCCTAACGTAGTAATTTATTATTAATAACGAAGTAATTAATATTTTTTATATAGTAAAAAAAAAAGCCAATTTCGAGCTAGTAGTTAAATTATATAAAAAAAGCGTAATTATAACTATTAAAAAGCCGTATAAGGGATTAGATTTTATTAAAATAAATACTTTTCGTAATTAAAAGGTCTATCGATTTATTTTCTACGACTTAGAAAAATATATAAACCTCTATATATTTAAATTATAAATAGTTTATAAAATTAAAAAAAAAGGAATACCCTAGCTATATAAAAAATCTAAATACGTAATTTAGGAGTATAGTAATATTAAAAAGGCAGCGCTATTTATATAATTACTTATTATATAGTACTATAGCTAACGATTAATAATAATATTAATAATATTATTATAAAAAAAGGGATATAAAATTTAAAGCTATAATATTACCTAGGCTTATATTTAATTAGCTATAGGGCTTATAAAGAAAATCCTAGCCTATTTACTAAAAGAAATAGTTAGTAAGTACTTAAAAAGTACGATTATTAAAATACTTAAATTACTATATAGGCTCGTAAAATCGGGTACTTATTAATAAGCTACTTACTACGATTTTTATATTAATTAACTATTAATAATTATTTTTATATATAACCCGTACTTATTAATTTTTAAATACAAAAGTAACTAATTTAGAATTATTAAAATATAAACTAATAATATATTAGGCCTATTTAATATTAACTTTATAAAAAAAGAGGATAAGGAGCTTTAAAAAGCGGGCTTTATAATAAAACTAAAAGAGGTTTTTATAATAAATACCCCCTTAGTATTTAATAGCGGGATTTTTATAATTAAAAAAAAAACCGTCGTTTTTTAATAAAAGGGGTAGGGTAAGAAAATTAACCTCGTCGATCTAAATATAATTAATATTAAAAAGTAGTATAAAGCTAAGCTTATATAAGGAGTATATATTATAAGTATTTATTAGCCTAAAATAACTTTTAACTACGCTAAGGTAGTATAGGTTATAGATCTAATTAAATAAGATATCGAGGTACTTAATAAGTAGTTTAAATAATAATAAATAAATCTCAATTAAGGTTTCGTTTACTACCTAATTAACTTTATAATTAATAAGCTCTATATCTATATTAATAAGTTATTTATAAATAATAATAACCTTATTTCGTAATTAGAATATATTATTATTCTAGTTAATAAGAGTATAAATAAGAGCGAATTTATTATATATAGTAATATAATTTATTACTTATTAATTAAAAGTAAATAAGTAATAAGAAATATATTAACGTCAGAGGTTTATAATATAATTAATAACGTTAACCTTTTTTATATAATTTTAATAATACTAAAGAAGATTACTAATTAACTTAGCTTTTTACTTATTTTAATAATTATTTATATTAATTCTTACTCGCTATATAAATACCTTATTAAATTAAAAATAATAAAGGAAAAGAGGCTTATAATTAATATTATAGCCCTTAAGTAATTATATAAAAGGTATAAAATACTTAAAATCCGTTAAATTAATAATAAAAATAACTTTATAAACGTTTTTATAAAAATAATATTAAATAAGGGATTAGAGTAATTCGTAAGTAATAGAAAAATTACTATATAAATAGAGGGATAAGTTATATAAAAAAAATAAAAAAAAAGAAAAAGGAAACGACTTAGTAAATAGGCCTAAGGTCGAATTATATTTTTAATTATAATAGTTAAATTAATAAAAAAAAAAAAAGTTAATATTAGATTAGAAATTTAATTTAATTATAGTATATAGCTAATTATATAGGGGCTAATTAGGGGCCCTATTTACGATTATTATAACTAACTTAATTTATAGTTAGAACCTCTTTTTTATACTTATTACGTAAATATTTATATA